ACAAGAAACTAACCATTCTACAAGTACCGGCCTTCAAATCGCATACAGGGTATGACTGAGGGCAGCAGCTAGAGCCGTTATCACAGCAAGTGGCTGATTCTAGCGGACAACATCCCCAGCTATTGCATTTGCCTTTGTCCTCATAGAGACAACAACAAGTGGACTTAGCAGCACAAGTGTAAGACTTGTCACAAACAACTGGGTTTGCGCTCGATGATTTGATAGGGTAAGAAGCCAACATCGCAACACCGCATTTCCCTAATGTATCTTTGATGTTACGTTCGAGCTTAATGTATCCGCTTTCTCCCCAGTTCGATCCCCATGAGTCACGAATAATCCAATAGTCTTGACCATCTGATGATCCGTATCCCACAGCTAGCACACCATGGTCCAACCATGTTCCACAAGTACCTGTAAACACACCCTGAAAAACAAACACAAAAGGAACGAATTTTAGAGATTCGGGTTTTCAAGAAACACAAGAGGATCAAGGTGGTTCGATGAAATTACAGATTTGTAAAGCTGGTAAGCTTGACCACCGGCTTCAATGGCGACACTAATCGGTTGATTAGCAAGAGCTTTCTTCAATGACTTCTCATCGTTTTGAGGAACATATTCAAAACCATCAATGCTAACTACACGAGTGTTCATCTGCAATATACGAAAGACAAAAAAACGTATAAAGTAAAAGACATTTATAAACCAACAAATCAGATCAGCGGTTTTCCCAATTACCTTGTCGGAATTGCACATATTAACATCAGTAGCTGTATAAGGATAATCTTCCTCTGTATCAATACCACCATTTTTTGTAATGAATTCAAAAGCATAGTCCATAAGACCACCATCACATCCTTCATTGTAGCCCTTGTCACAATCAATAAGTTCTTGCTTCGACAAATATATCAATTCTCCTGTCTTGATCTGGTTTATACCTTCAACCGCTCCAATCGCAGAAAACGCCCAACTACTTCCTGTTTTTTTTGTCAAAAAAGCATTACTTCACTCAACGCTAAACAGAGCGATTAAACCGCAAACGCAATTCTAAAACACACAAAAAAAAAGAGAGATTAATACCGCAGCTTCCTTGGTTTTCGACTGGAGCAACGGCTCCTTTCGATCTCCAATCGATTTCATCAGGCAAAGTATCTCCAACCTTATACAAATACCTCTCTGTTTTCACCGATTCTCTAGTCCTTTCCATCTTCCTACTCAAGTAAATCGCTCGAAACTCCTCATTCGTCAGATCCGCGAACCGGGTCAACCCGACTTCGTAAGTCCGGTTCGGGACAGAGTTGTGTTCTTCCACGAACCTCAAGTTGTCTTTGAAGATCTCGAACCGTCTCTCTTTCTCTCCTAAACCATTGTAGTTCT